CCCGCCTCGGGTCCAAGCCACCCTGGCCATGCCCATGCAAAGGCGCTCCGCCAATCCAGAGAGGCCAGCAGGGAGACTGCAGGGTCAGGAGACCCCCGAATCACCAAGACCCCTCTGTCTCGCCCCCACAGCCTCCTATGGCTGTGCTGGGCAACCTCCTTAGCGCCAGAGCCTTGCTTCCTATGCCAGAAACATTTATTGATCACCTACTGTATGCTCCACACCTGTACTAAGGTAGGCTCTTGAGGTGGGAAGGGGGCTGAGAGTTAGCTGAGGGACCCCCATATGGAGGCTAGAGGGTAAGAACAAGGGCCATAGCTCTGCCCAAGCTCCATGAGAAGCCCCTCTCCTCCCCCACCCTCCCATTCCCCATTTCTGTGTCAGGATCCCTCCTGCACCCAGAGCTGCCCTCATTCAGCACAGAGTCCCAGGATGGTCCAGGAGGCAAAAAGAGGAGTTTGAAATTGACCAGGCAGAAGCCCCGCCCTATATCCTGTAGGCTGGCGACTAAGTGACTTCCTGGCCCTCCCCAGAAGTGTTTATGTCCATCTGTGCTGTGTGTGTCCATTGAACATTCCCGACTACCATCCCCTCCCTTTTGCCAGGGACCCTTACTCCTGTCCCTGTCCATCCCAGCCTGATGGGTTACTGCAGAGGGTGGGGGAGCTTGTCTGGCTAGAAGGGGTCTTTCTACCCTCCTCCTGACCTGGGGTGAGAAGTGCTAATGACTTGGGCCTCTGAGCGCTGGCCCGTGGTCAGCATTCACAGGAACTGTTCCCTTGAGCAGGCCCCTTTGAGTCTCCCCTCCTCTGCCCCAGCCCTATGTCTACCTCCACCAGTGTTTGTGCCCCTTCCCCCCAACCGATGGAATGTATGCTTTGTGTGCCTCTCTGAGGACATTTGATCTGGAATAACCCTAGGGGTCTCGGGCCATTTTGCAGATCAGGAGACTAAGATCTGGAGAGGAAAGAAACCCATACAAGATTCCCCAGTTCCGCTTGGACCCAAGGTGGTGAGATTCGAAGTCCACACTCTTCAGCTTTTTCAGTTACACATACAGGAAGCTGGCTGAGCTGCAGGCTCACCTTCAGCCTGCCCCTCTCCAGCTCTGCTCAGCCCCCTGCACATACCTGGTTCCCAGGGGTCAGGCATAGCCAGCCCAGATAGTTCCCCATGAGGGCAGAAGCACGCTCAGCTCAGTTCTTACTGCTCCTTCTCTCCTCTCTAGTGCCCTTGCCTGGGCTCCTAGCCCCCGCCCAAGCACAGGACCTGCCTCTAGGCAGCCTCCTGGGCCGCAGCCCCTTGGGTATCCACACCCCAACTTCTCCCCCTAAAATCCACTTAGGCTGAGGCTGCATGGCTGTTCCCCTACCCTACCTCCGAGTTCCTGGCTGATGCTGCCATAAGCTCCTGCCTGGCTAGCCACCTCCATTTGTCTGTCTGTCCAGAGGCTTGACTGTCTGCCCTGTGACTGCCCTTACTGGACCAAACCTGGTACTGCTGCCCCAGGAGGCTATGAGGATGGATGTGGACAGTGGGGTCCACCATATACCACCCCAGGTGGGGCTTAGGGGTCACCAGGACCACCTAGGACCTGCCAGGCTATAGCTTTAAGGCCACATCAGAGTCAAGGGAGGTGGCTGGATGGGAGACCAAGGGGTAGGAAAGGTAGGGATCC